CAAACACATCCATCATCGGCCATCCCCACCGATGGCAAAGGGCGTTGAAGACGTTGTCGTCCAACTGCCATTCGTGCGTCTGCCATGTGAGACACTCAGCTCGTCTGCTATCACGTTGTCTTCTGTCGATACATGTATAGCCACAGCAAAGACATGATGCCGACAGCACCATTCCCACAGAATCACAGTGAGGAGCAACAGGGACTTCGAACGTGTGCCTCCCTGCTTGTTGATATAGTACGTGGTTGTGGTGTTGTCCGTGACTACCTGAACGCCACAACCTTGTACTAGAGGGAGGAAGGCCTTGAACGCCTTGATGATTGCCAGAATCTCCAGATCACTGATGCGCAGGTCACGTTCTTGCGCTGACCATAAGGCATGTATCCTGTGGGGTCTGCAGTGCGCACCCCAACCTACTGGGCTTGCATCTGTGGTCACCTGCACGGATAGACGAAGGGGTTGGAATGGTCTTCCTATTTGCAGGTGAGGAGGATAGTTCCACCACTGGAGCTGTTGTGCCAGTTCCTGGGTTACCCGAAGACGCATGTGCTGATGATCTGTTATCGGGTTGAATTGTGACAGGAACCAAACCTGAAGGGATCTGAGTTTCAACCGAGCGTGAACCAACCCTGGGGTCGTCGAAGCCATGAGCCCTAGGAGGTGTTGAGAGTGTTTTGCTGTTACCCGTGCCCCTGGGAGAAATTTTCTTATAGCCTTGTGTATTTTCCGAATCTGTTCTTTTGGGAGAAAAATGTGCCCTTTTCTGAAATCTATTGTGGCACCAATGTAATTGATGACTTGTGAGGGAACAAGATGAGATTTTTGATGTTGACTGTGAGACCCAGGTTGTACAGAACATGAAGTATGAATTTTGTGTCTTTCAGAGCACGACGTCGGGACCTGGAAACCACCAACCAGTCGTCTATATATGGGTACACCCGGACACCATTTAGACGCAGGTAGGCCGCCACCGGCGCCATGCACTTTGTAAACGTCCTTGGGGCTGTGGCCAGGCCGAATGGAAGGGCCAAGAACTGGTAAACTGTGTCTTAGAACAGAAATCTGAGGTACTTGCGATGATGGGGATGAATAGTTATATGAAAATATGTGTCCTTTAAGTCTATTATTACTACAAATCAATTGTTTTTGTTTAACAGGTGGATTATTGACTCCAAGGTGACCATCCGGAATCGTCGAGGGCAAAGTAAAGTATTTAAAGTTCTTAAGTCCAGAATGGGTCTTATGCCCCTGTCTTTTTTGGGAATGGAGAAATATCTTGAATAAAAGCCGTTTGCGATGTCTCTTAGGGGTACCTTTTGAATGGCATTTTTGCGTAGAAGAGAAAGAACCTCTTCTTCTAGGGCAGGATCGAATGATGTATAAAGAACCTGCCCTAGAGGAGGATATTCTATAAACTCCAGCAGATATCCGGATTGAACAATGTTTAAAACCCATGAGTCTTTTGTAATGGTGGACCAATTTTTCAGGTAAGGTGAAAGTCTTGTTGTGGGATTTGGTATAAACGTAATTGTGGTCGAGTCAAAGGTATTGTTTGGATTTTTTGGCAGGAGGTCTGTATGCCTGACATCGCTGAGAATGTTGAGAGCGGTAAGTATTAGAAGAGAAAGCAGTATTGGAAGATCTAGGTTGAGACTGCGCCTTGAACTGCTTATATTGAGGAACCTGATAATATTGATTGTAAGGTTTCTTCCACTGATACCTATTATATTTAGGTTGAGGCTGTATGTAATAAGACTTGGCCGTCTTTGCTTTATGAAGTTCCTCAAGATGAGAATCAGTCTTTTCATTAAAGAGGCCAGAGGCATCGAACGGCAAGTTTTCAACTTTCGTTTTCACGTCCTCAAGGATGTTAGCCGCCCTGAGCCACGCATGTTGTCGAAGAGTTACAGCAGACATCAGGACCCTGGATGCAGCCTCTACAGAATGTCTTGTAGATATTCTTAGACGTTTCGAAACAGTTTGAGCCTCCTCATAAGTGTTCAAAAACCCTTGTTTAACATCCTCCGGCAGCATCTGTAATCATGGCAAGATCTTAAACCATAACTGCTTCTGATACGCCCCTAAAGCGGTTTGATAGTTAGCCACTCTAAGCATGAAAGAGATCAGGGAATAAATCTTCCTGCCCAGTATCTCTAGTTTCTTTCCTTCCTTATTTGTGGGGGTGACATGGGACCGCCCTGTTGGTCTGGTACAACTGGTTTCCACTATTAATGAGTTAGGTATTGGGTGCTTGAGAAGAAATTTAGTATCATTCCCAGTTATACGATAAAGGTTTTCAGTACGTCTGGATAGTGGAGGCGTTGTAGAGGGCTGGTCCCAAAAGTCCTTAATGATGTTAACAAGAGCAGAAAGGTAAGACAAAGTTGGAGGAGGGGACCGTTCACTATTAATGTCCCCGAATATCAGATCTTCTTCTGGTGGGGTTGGTGCATCCACCTGTAGTTTAAGAGCCTTAGCCAATCTAGCAAGCATCTGCGAATAGGAGGAAAAATCCTCAGATGGTGAAGAGGCATGAGGATCACCAGTGTCCGATCCAACAACTTCACCCTCAGGCAAGTTCTCCTTACTACCCTGTTGAGGCAAGCCTTCTTCAGACTCACAAAACCTCTCAGAAAAAGGAGCATCTTCATCAGAAGAAGGAGACTGCATCCTTTTATGAAGTCTAGCTTCAGAGATCAGCCCTTCTGGCATTGGCTGCTGAGATGGAAGCGCTGCCATTGACATCGAAAAGGTGGAAGCAGGAGCCTCTGCAGGCTTTCCCGCGAGCTGGGCAGGTTTCGCGGGTCCCTCGACCTCAAAATACCTTTGATGTCGGTGCTTTCTTGGCGGGGACAAAGACGAGGAAGAGGAGGCATACACATATTTCACCCTTCTTCGACGCAGATGACGTCGAGGAAGAAGTTGAAGTAGATCTCTTCCAGTGATGGCGTCGATGCTTTCTACAGCTGGAGGTCGATGACGAGGAGTCCTCAGATCATGACCTATGCCGACATCGAGAATGACAATGAAGCGATTGTTGTCGGTGTTTGGAAACATGCTTGGTCTTATGCGTGCATTTCCGTTGGTCTCGAAGGCGCCGAAGAGACTGAATGAGCCAAGGACGCCCGCCCAGTAGATACAGGGCTGTTAGGTGCAGACACCAAGCTTGCAGTGGCATTAGCAAGCTGACTTGGTGTTGGGGATTGAATCCCCAAAACTTGAGGTGGCTCAGTCTGTCTGGGAGGTAGAGAAGCGGCTACCTCCGATAGAGACTCCTTATCCCTCGATGAGTCTTCCATCAGCGGGGAAGGGAGGGAGACGGAAACAGACAGTACTTCTGCAACCACGTCCAAATCCTTAACCAATTTCTTTTTTGTTTGCTTTGCAGCCTTGGGCGCTGCGGATTTTACAGCAAAAGATTTCTTGGAAGAAGCCGACTTCTTTACAGACTTGTCCGAAGATTTCCCTGGAGCCTTGGTAACAGGTGGCTGAGCAAGGCTACTTGAAGTAGAGGGGTTAACGGCAGACGAAGGGAGCTCTATAGAAGACTGTTTGGAGGCCGCCAGAGCAGCGTCCCAAAGATGATATTTTAAGCGCTGCTGCAGAGCTCTCAAAGCAGGCTTGGAAAACGCTTTACAGTGCTTGCAATTTTGATAAATGTGCCTCCCCAAGACAAAAATGGCACTTATCGTGTCCGTCTTGGAAGGGGAGCTTCCTATCACATATAATGCACCGGCTGAAGGGACCGGAGGGGGACATAAGCTGTGAGGAGACAGTAGTCATGTCAAGCAGAGTCGTTAAATTTGGCGGGAAAAAACCGAGGCAACCAATTTGAGGGGAAAAATGAGAGCAAAGTCCAGTAAACCAGAACCAAGTCAGGGTAGGAGACAAGCAGAGTAGTCAGTAACACACAAAGTCAAGAAAAAAACGCAAAAAGTCAAATATAGTCAAAAATAGCAAGAGCTCTATCCGAAAGGAACCACTTCGCACGGCGGAGAAATGGCTTGGGTGGGCGGAGCATGCGCAGTGTAGGCAACCTAAAACTCTGTTTCTTTTTCTATTTAAGCTCTAGAACATTCCGAGAGGATCATCGCTGGCGCTGATTTAACCCTTTTGTGTGCATTCACAGAAGACCACAATGAAGAATCTCTCAATACTGAATAAGGTTACATTTCATGCACACCACCCTGATTCCATTCTCTCCTCAGAACAACTTGCCTGAGTAACAGGAGAGCAGGATTCTAAAGTATACCCATTTTCAAATTTAGTTGCTAACATCTGTGGTGTTCTAAGCACTAATTTAAGGACAGTGGTGCCTCAACTTACGAGCGTCCCAACTTACGACCATTTCAAGTAACGACCAGCTCCAGCCACAAAATATTGCTTCGACTTGTGGCCGGAGCTTCGAGTTACAACCAAAAAAGGCAGGGAAAAAAGGCGAGGAATTCAAATTGCTAACCATTGGTAGGCTGCTTCTTTGTAGCTCTTTTGCCCCAACGGTAAGAGTGATTGCGATTGGAAGAGGCTTGGGACTGCCTGGTAAGGTAAGGTGCTGGTTTCTGCTTTTTAAAAACTGTTCTGGGTGGGTTTTGCAAAGTGGTGGGGGGATTATGTTTCTATGCTGTGATGGGTCTTGCAGGGTTTGTTTGCTTTTTGTTCCCCCCCCCCAATGGGTCTTGCGGAGTTTGTTTGCTTTTTGCTTTGCTTTTTCTGCATTTCCAAAGGGTGTTGCACTGTTTGTTTGCTTTTCTTCTCCCCCTCCTTTAGCCAGAGCGGATTAATTGTGTTTCTGATGGGTCTTGCTGTGGTTTTTCTTTTCTTTTCTTTCTTTTTGGTGATACTTTTCTTCAGCCAGAACGGATTAATTGCATTTCAATGCATTTCTATGGGAAATAGTGCTTCAACTTACAACCATTTTGAGTTACGACCGGAGTTCTGGAACCAATTAAGTTTGTAAGTCGAGGCACCACTGTATACCTTTAAAGCACACAGCCACTTACCTACTATCTGTCCTCTAACAGTATCATTGTCATTTGGCCCAAGTTTGCACAGATCCAACCTCTGATCTGCAAATACAAAGAAAAAACAGAGGTATATTTTACCACATGCTAATACCAGTTATATCCTGAGATACTGCAAATTATTGCTTAAAGACTGTTTCATGCTCCCAAAGATCTACACAGAGACAACTTCCATGTAATACAAACTCCAAACAGACTCTCTAAGTTTGATCCCAAACAGAGAAGTATTAGCATTCAGTCTACTCACAACCAGTGTCTTTAAGGCGGTTGATAACATTGGAAAGAAGTCTCACACAACCCAGAAAACCGGCTCCCTGCTTTTTATGGATTTTCTTGTGATTCCATACGCTGATTGTTATTGAATCTGACTTTCCAATGTATCTGAAAAAAGGAAAAGAATCAGAACAATGCAAATTATGTTGACATATCGGACAGTTTGTTTTTGACTGTAAAACATTTTTGAGGCTAAGAAGAGTAAACATGGTGTCATATTCACAGGAACTGCATGGTACAGATTGGTAAAAAGATTACTGAGTAATTTATTTGTAAAACAGAATTTATGTGCAGAAATTTCAAAGGAGCTTTTCAGAATGTCTTACATAAATCAAGCATTGCCAAGGTCCTTTGGCTAGACAATGACAGTATGTCTAAGGGGAAATGGCTGGTATATCATAGGATGTTTAATTCTGGGGGGAATATAACATTTAAGAATTACGGTTGTCCCTGAGAGACGTTTAGCAGTCTTCTTCCATTACATATTCCCCCGTCAGTACAAAGATCCAAGTATTCCACTTACTGAAACACATCCTCCTACACTCACCCATTCCAATTATCTACTTCCCCTTTCTCTACAACTGCAATACATCTTTTATTATCTAGCCATAAATGAAGCTGTCAAGGCCCAGAGATCAAAAATTGAAACCACCTTCCAAGACTTACAGTGGTTATTCTTGTCAAGTGGCTGTCTATTTAACCCTTACTCTCACCCCACCTCTTTCCTGTATGCCGGCCTTCAACTAGCATGCTTGCTAAGATTTCAAACGACTGCCTGCAGACAGGAACAGAGAACAAAAATATGGCAGGAGACGCTGATTCCATACCTGCGTGACTCTGATTAGAAAAGGAGGGAAAACTAAATTTATATTAAAACCAGCAGAGTTTTGTTTTAGATAAAATTATTTTATCAGCATGGATGCAGATTAATGTAGTGTTCTCACAGGTCATAGTTCAGCAGGGCCACTTCAATACTATTCAGAAGGCAAGAGTGCCAGGTGAAGCACAGAAAAACTGAAATTTACAGCTGTTGCAAATTCTATTTGCCTGCTGCTCTTCCTACACCATGGACACCATGAAATCTTCTCCAGTGCTCTTAAAAAGCATAGAAACTTTTCCATATCATGGAAGGATCTAGTAAATACATTTAATTGAGAAATTCCTATTGAGGATTTACACTGGTGTAAATTTAACAGTGTCATATTCACAGGATCTTATACCAAAACTCAAGCTTAAACTGAAGAAAGTAGGAAAAACCATTGGGCTACTCAGTGTATAATCTATACCAAATCCCTTATGAATACACAGTGGAAGTGAAGAACAGATTTAAGGAACTCAATTTGGTGGACAGAGTACCTGAAGAACTTTGAATGGAGGCTAGTAATATTGTACAGGGGGCAGCAACAAAAACCATCCCAAAAAAAGAGGAAATGCAAGAAAGCAAAGTGGCTGTCCAACCAGGCCTTACAAACAGCAGAGAAGAGAAAGGAAACCAAATGCAAGGGAGATAGGGAAAGTTACAGAAAATTGAATGCAGACTTCCAAAGAATAGCAAGGAGAGACACGGCGGCCTTCTTAAATGAACAGTGCAAAGAAATACAGCGGTGCCTCGCTTAACGGTTACCTCGTTAAACGACGAATCCACTTGACAATGAGGTTTTTGCGATCACTTTTGTGATCACTTTTAATGGGCAATTTTCGCTTCCTGACAATCGGTTCCCTACTTCGGGAACCGATTCTTCGCATTACGACGATCAAAATAGCTGATTGTCGGGTTTCAAAATGGCCACCTGCTGTGTAAAATGGCTCCCTGCTGTGCTTTAGGATGGATTTTTCGCTGCACAGGAAGCAGAAAATGGCCGCCCAATGGAGGCTCTTCGCTGGACACTGGGGTATTTAGCTCATTGGAACACATTGAATTGGTTTTCAATGCATTTAAATAGACTTTTTTATTTCACTTGACGAGGATTTTGCTCTACAGTGATTTCGTTGGAACGGATTATCCTCATCAAGCGAGGCACCACTGTAAAGGTAAATAATAGAAAGGGAAAAACAAGAGATCTGTTCAAGAAAATTGGAAATATTAAAGATAGTGTGGCTGCTGACCTTGAGGCAGACATCCTGAAGAGTGAAGTCAAGTGGGCCTTAGAAAGCATGGCTGACAACAAGGCCACTGGAGGTGATGGCATTCCAGTCAAACCATTTGAAATCTTAAAAGACATTGCTGTTAAGGTGCTACACTCAATATGCCAGCAAGTTTGGAAAACTCAGTAGCGGTCAGAAAACTGGGAAAGATCAGTCTACATCCCAATCCCAAAGAAGGGCAGTGCCAAAGAATGCTCCAACTACCGTACAAGTGCACTCATTTCACATGCTAGCAAGGTTATGCTGAAAATCCTACAAGGTAGGCTTCAGCAGTATGTGTACCGAGAACTCCCAGAAGTACAAGTTGGATTTCGAAGGGGCAGAGGAACTAGAGACCAAATGGCTAACATGAGATGAACTATGGAGAAAGCCAGAGAGTTCCAGAAAAAGATCTACTTCTGCTTCACTGACTACTATGCGAAAGCCTTTGACTATGTTGACCACAACAAATTATGGCAAGTCCTTAAAGAAATGGGAGTGCCTGACCATCTTATCTATCTCCTGATATTTCTTCCGGCAATTAAGATTACCAGAAGAAATATCAACAACCTCAGATATGCAGATGATACCACTCTGATGGCAGAAAGTGAGGACGAAGTAAAGAACCTCTTAATGAGGGTGAAAGAGGAGAGCGCAAAAAATGGTTTGAAGCTCAACATTAAAAAAAAAACTAAGATCATGGCCACTGGTCCCATCACTCCTGGCAAATAGAAGGGGAAGATATGGAGGCAGTGACAGCTTTGACTTTCTTGGGCTCCATGATCACTGCAGATGGAGACAGCAGCCATGAAATTAAAAGATGCCTGCTTCTTGGGAGGAAAGCGACGACAAACCTAAACAGCATTTTAAAAAGCAGAGACATCATCTTGCCGACAAAGGTCTGCATAGTCAAAGCTATGTTTTTTCCAGTAGCAATGTATGGAAGTTTAAGCTGGACCATAAAGAAGGCTGACCGCAGAAGAATTGATGCTTTTGAATTGTGGTGCTAGAGCAGACTCTTGAGAGTCCCCTGGACTGCAAGGAGAATAAACCTATCCATTCTGAAGGGACTCAACCCTGAGTGCTCACTGGAAGGACAGATCCTCAAGCTGAGGCTCCAGTACTTTGGCCATCTCATGAGATGAGAAGACTCCCTGGAAAAGACCCTGATGTTGCGAAAGTGTGAAGGAAAGAGGAGAAGGGGATGACAGAGGATGAGATGGCTGGACAGTGTCATCGAAGCTACCAACATGAATTTGACCCAACTCTGGGAGTCAGTGGAAGACAGGAGAGGCTGCCGTGCTCTGGTCCATGAGGTCACAAAGAGTCAGACATGACTTAATGACTAAACAACAACAAAAATTAACAGCATATATTGCTGTCACATATTGCTGCTAATTAATGAGTTGCTATTCAGATTCCTCATCATATTGCAAACTGTTTGACTGACACACAATAAGTAATGGAAACAACAACCTGTTAATTAGCAGCAATTCACTGCCACAATTTACCTAATTACATTTATGCTGGTCTAAATTCCAGGTAAGATTTTGGTCAGTTTGTAATGTGTATATATTGATAGGTAGATTTAGCTATTGCAATATTTTAGTAAACTTTAGCACTCACTATGTGAAACAAATAATGCTTCTGTGTCATGTCAGTTCAAAGGATTTCAGAATTGTTGAAGGCCACAATGTTGCAGCTTCTAGAATAAGTGCCATAGCATTTACTCTTGCCAAATAAAGAATGCTTTTCCAAAGGAAGCAAAATATTCCTTTCATGGATGAATTCAGCTTTGCTGGAAAAAGGTTCTTCATCTAGCCTATGGTGTAGCTGAAGGCAGATAAAAGTGTCGAAACCTTTATTGTGGGTAGACTGGAAGAACAGCCCACTGTAAAGAACAGTATTTTGCATTTGTTTCAGATCAACCTGAAATAAGACTCCAACATAAAAATAGAGGTATGAATTCCTGTTATTAAAAATGACCACTGAGATTTAA